TGATAACAGTGGTGCAGTAGCAAACTCAAGGGAACCACGAGCCCACAGAGCAAGCAAGCACATAAAGAGCAAATACCACCTTATCAGAGATATTGTGGCAAGAGGAGAAGTTGAGATCACCAGGATTGCATCAGAAGACAACCTAGCTGATCCTTTTACGAAGAGTTTGCCGGAGAATGTCTTCGCCAAACACGTAGAGGGAATGGGAGTCAAATGTATGGTGATAAGATCGTCATAGGTCTTTTAGGATACGGATTGATAGGACTATACTAGTAAAGCGGCAGCTTTAAGTATAAGTGGGAGATTGTTGGTGTTATATACTTAAGCTTTGCTTGAGTGGATATTACACTTGTTATTTCTTGATGAATGAGAATTATGTTTGGTTAAATAAGTTTTACGTTCTGTTGTTTTGCATGTAGATAAGTGGGTCGTCACCGGGCGTAGCGAAGATCACTATATCAGTTACTTGCGAAACAAGAATCATTGGTTCACAACCTAGATGGAATTGAACAACCCATCGGAACGGTTGTAGTGTCAACTGTACGGTTTGTCTTGACCGATTAGTTGCACTAGTACATTTATGTATTGAACAGGATCCCAGAGAGGGATGTTCGTTTTATGCTGATCGTCGTAAACGAAATAGGCCTCAGTTAATTATTGCGTGCTCTTAACCCGTAAGATATTAAATAGGCATGTGCACATAATTGTTGTTGCTTTGATTCTTTGGGTGAGATCCAAGCCGGGTCGACATACTTAATGAATTGGGTAATGACATTATGTGTTCGATGTGCTATTAGGATATTTACGATAACCATGTGTGTTAGTCTGATGATGTCCCCGAAGTGAGTTCATGAAGGAATATTATGCTAAATCCTACAGGTGGATTTATTCCGGCATAATATGAATGCTATGAGCGAGCGCTAGCTTCGGTAATATAATATATTAATTAATTCTTGATTATTAGTGATCGAATTAATTAATGGACATTATATCTTAAACATGGGGAGGTAAATCGGAAAATTATAATGAGTCTCAAATGTAAATTGGGATAGGTGAGAGGA